CTCCTTTCAATGTATTTGATATGCATGAGATGAGGCCGGAGGCCAATGACATGTATATTATATTTTATGCAACTTTTTAACTTCATGAAATGTTATGAAAAACTTGAAAAATTGCAAGTCATTCCTTCACCACGGTTGCATCGGGTGTGGGAATTCCATTTCATTCTTTTATAGGGTTTTATTAATCTTGTATGAAGTGTGGCCAAGGGTCAAATGGTCATTTGATCCCGTTTTGCATTTTTGGATTCCATGTTTTCCATTCTAAGTCCATTTTTGCCTATTTGCCCGTTGGGGGGTCGGATTTTGCATCGGCAGCCATGGACCATTGTAGTGCATCTAAATAGGTAAGTTACGTTTGCGTGCATAGTCGTTTCCGGGCAAAACCTCATCGTTTGTGTTTTGAGCCTCTTGTGAATTCATTTCGTATTTTTTTTTTGTATATTCTGATCTAGGGGCATTATGGACCTTTCACCTCAGTTTTATTTTCTTCTTTTGACATGGTCGCTTAGAAAACGTGATTTTAGGGGGGGGTTTCTTTTTCGTGTTTTTCCAGAAAAGGTCGTCTTGGTGCCGGAAATCGATCGCAAAGTTCAGTTTTCTATTATGCATCTAGCAGCTTTTTAATCCTCTTGCCCTTTTCTGATCTAGGGGCATTCTGGGTACTTCATAGTGTTTATTTTTCATTTTTGTCTGCAATCCGGGTAGAAAATGTGATTTTGGGGGGGGGGGGGGGTTCTTCTTCATGTTTTTACAAAAAAAATCATCTTGATGCCGAAAACAACTCGCAGATCTAGAAAATCTGGTCGTTCCAGGTTTTTCCGGAAAAAAATGCTAATCTAAGGGGCATTTCGGGTATTTCACTTATAAAATAAAATCTTCTCTTGATATGGTCATGTAGAAAACATGATTTTGGGGAGGGTTTGTTCATAACTTTTTGCCAAAAAATGTGGTTTAAGCCCTCAAAACCACGTTTAAAGTCCAAAAATCTGGGCAGGTCCTGCCCAGATTTGAACCTAGGAAATTGTTTTTTTTGAAACTTTGAGGCTTCATATCTTCTTCGTCCCGACTCCAAATCTAGTGATTTTTGAGTCTAAGTTTATTAGTTTTTGCTGGTCTATGTAACGGTATGCACGATTGCATCAAATTATATCTTAAAAGACCATTTTACCCCTTGTAAAGTACCCTTGCCGCATTGATTTTAAACCCAAAAGTTGGTTATTTATGAAACTTTGACGTTTCATATCTTCTTCATCCGGACTCCGAATCAAGTGATTCTTGAGTCTAGATTCATTAAATTTTCCCTGTCTATCTAACAATATGCTCAGTTGCATCCAATTTTGTCTAAAAAGACCTTTTAACCCCTTGCGAAGTACCCTTGCTGCATTGATTTCAAACCCAAAAATATGATTTTTATGAAACTTTGGAGTTTCATATTTTCCTCATCCGGACTCCGAATCAAGTGATTCTTGAGTCCATCTTGTTTAGTTTTTCATTGTCCTTCCAGTGGTATGCTCGGTGGCACCCAAGTCCACAGCTTTCAAAAATGACTATTTTGCCCCTGGGGGCTTATTTGTCATATTTTTGGTCTTTTGCTTCCGCGTTAGTTCTCATTGAGTTCCACAACCTCATGGAAGGTCATTTTGACTTTTTAGAGTCCTGTTTTCTGTTTTTGCTTCCGTATATCGGATCCGTTATCGGGTCAATCTTTGGTTCATCACAGGACACGCTGGCCTAAAAACCAGGATCGTCACAATATATATATATATATATATATATTATGCATATTAAATGGATTATATATATATAATTATATAGAGAATTATATATTTATAGTAAGTATATATTTATAGGACTATATGCATATATATGGTAAGTGTAGTTAAAAAGGATTTACAAATATATATTACATAATATATATATTTATATTTATATGTTTTATGTATATTAATATAGTTAGAGTCCTACGTATAGGAGGATTGGCAAATATATATTATTTATTTTTATTGGGTGAGGAATATATATATATAATAAATAATTATATATATAATATAATATATATGTATATATTTTATTTAAGATTATTATTATTTTTTATTTGGATAGTCATACTAGGAATAGGATTAGGATATTAATATATTTAAATATACACATAAGGTTATACTGTTAAAAGATTTTTCACGTTAGAAAAAAAATAAGAGAAGCAGAGAAAAAGAAGAAGGGAAGGCTAACAAAGAAAAGACCGGATCAGAGAAAGAGGACGTCGGATTTGGAAGAGACAACCAAGGTTGAAGCGTCGATTTCGTTTCAAAACCTTCAGGTAAATTCTTTTCTAACTCTTCTCTTAGAACCCATAAGTTTATCACCCTGGGTATCAAAATCTATAGATTAAATTAGCATATTAATCATCTAGACATAGGATAAATGCAAGTGAAGAAATTGATTAGAAGAAAAGGAAGAATCCTTCTTTAATTAGGAAACTTTATCCAATTCCTGTTTTAATATTCTGACTGTATCTCTTTCCTCGAGTGTCAAAACGGCTCAAATCTTATGCAGTTGAATGGAAATTCGATTATCTACAATTTTGTATTTCACAAAAATTTCGTGAAACGGATGTTTACCTTGTCAAAATTAAGTTGGAAGATAGTACGAATTTTATATATATATATATATATATATATATATATCTTATCCCATAATTGTTTTAACCAATTTAGATAATTTGTATTGGTTGGGTGTTGACCAAATAATTCGTAATATTTATATTTAATGTGTAATGTGTTATTTGGACATTGCTAGATAGTGTAACCTACGTGTTATATACGCCTACATGTTAAACTGCCACACATAAATAAATAAATATAACCTAATCAACTAGTAAGTTGTTCATTGATATTTAACATATTTATATATGTGATGGTAGTGTTGATGAAATCATAATAGGTTGTTTATTTAAATTAATTATATGCTTATAACTTGCATGGAGTGCCTATGTATGATTCATTTCATAGTTAATTGTAAAGTTTGGTACATAGTTAAATTGGAGGCATGGATGAGTTGCTAAAAGCATAAATAAATTGTTTTATTACTTGTATGAATAAAATACATACATAGGAAACATGGATGAATTGCTAATTAATAGTATAAATAAAAACATACTTTTGGAGGCATGGATGAGTTGCCAAGACATAAATAGATTGTCATTTAACAGGCATGGTTGATTTGCCAAAGTATAAATAAATTACTTATAGAGGCATGGTTGAGTTGTTATAGTATAAATAAACATACTTTTAAAGGCATGGTTGATTTGCCAAAACATAAATAAATATTTGTGGAGGCATGGATGAGTTGCCAAATTATAAATAAATTGTTAGGTAAGTTAAATGATTAAATATACATCTATGGATATTGTGTTTATAAGTTGGAGGTGATAATTATTCTCATATTAGAATAAACTAATGTTTAAAAGATAATATATTATTTTATAGTATTAATAAAATAATATTAGCGAAGGCATGGAGGAGTTGCCAAAGTATAGATCTTTGCTACATAATCGTTATAAATAAAATCATACATTGGTGGATATTGGGATTTGGATTAAAGGAAAATATTCCTTGGATTATTATTTATTATTTAAATGGTTAAATAACTGTTTAAATATGAAATTTAGGTTTAAAAGAGTTTTTTTCTTAAAAGTGGAATGTACTTGATGGTTAGTTTAAATATAGAGGTAGTCTTATCATTGTTTACGATCTTGGATTTCAAGAAATATATAAATGAACATGTTCTTTATATATTATATATGTATCATCTTATATTAAACGTTAAAACTTTAATTAGGATGATTTTGGTTAGAGATGTTTTATTTATTGGTTTTCAGAGGTTTGGTAGAGGGAACTTGCTCGTGGGTCTAACCCACGATTTATTTTTCAGGTTATTAGAAGTTCCAGTCTCGAGGTTAAGGATCCACAGCTGAGAGACTGTCGTTCATCTACTCATCTTGTTTACTTTTTAGTATTGTTATTTATTGTTAGATATCTGGTGAATTAATAGTTTATGGTTTAGGGGTCCTTAACTTATAGGATTCCCGAGTTGTATTTTAGAATTTTAAATTCATAGAATTTATTTTTGTCAAGGAGGTTTTATTTTATTAATAGAATTTCATTCAGTGATTTATTCATTCTTTTTATTCTTCTTGTACTCTGTGTTCGTTTAAATACTAAATTGTTTTGATATTCCCGTGTTTTCGGGTGTGGGCCTGGCCAACCTACACATGAAAATTCGGGGGTATCACACCCACTTCCATGGAGCTGGCTCTCTCCCTCTCTGAGAGTCTTTAACCATTCTACTCCTTGTGCCTCGTCTTCGGCCACTTCCAACCCTTCTATTCTTTATTAATACTGAACCTAAGAGTCTAAATTATATCTAGTAGCATCCCAATCATTTATTTAAAATAGTTTGCATTAATAACAATGATGGAAACAGTTACCAATTCTATATGCTTTAAGATCAAACAATGAGATCCAAATCCGCAAGAACTATTCCAGATCAAATTAAACACATATAGACGATTAATTTAACATATACTAAGCATGCAAGATTCGTTTAATGTCCGATTAAAATCCTAGAGATTATCTAGGCATGCACAGAACATAGGTCAAAGGGAGAGAGTAAGAATAAAACTTGCCTGTGAGATTTTGAATCAAAACCACGTCGTCGTCTTCCCAAGTTTTCTGACGATGTCCGTTCACTGTCAATCTCCTACTGCTCTGGTTTAAATCCACAAGCAAATCCTTTCGTTCCTCGTTGGTAACCCTAACTGATTCCTCTGTTCTCTCTACCCTCTCTATACGTGAAAAGAATTTGTGTTTATTTTAAAACCCTAAGCCGACGTAATGTTATATATATATATATATAGCCAAAGAACTTTATCCTAATTCTAATTACATTATGAAAAGGAAAAGAAATTTTAAAATTCATTCTCTAACTAAGTCGGCTACGTCTCACAACGTGTCTACCTAAAAGAATATAAAACCCTAATTTAACATTAAAATAATTAATAAAACTAATTTAATCAAATAAACCAATTAACTCATTTAAATAAAATACATAATACAGTTAAACCATTTAAACAATTAAAACAATTAATTCACTTAAAGAAAATAAATAATGCAATTAACTCAATTAATCAATTAGGCAAATAGGCAAATAATCAAGTAAAAATGCAATAAAATAATAACTAAAATGCCAAGACTATCCTTTTTAAAATTAGGGGTATTACACTTAGTTCCACCCGAAATGCTGTCATGTCTACCAATGCATTATTATAGTCTTCTTCAGTCCGAGCATATACAATATTATCAAGCATCTTTAGCGCACCTTCTTTACCTCCACCCTTCAATTTTAAACTTGATTTTCCATTAATATATTGTGAGAAATTTTCCGTCAGATGATGAACACACCATGAGTGGTATTGAGAGCCAAAAAGATCCCTTATACATTTTTTCAGGCTTACATGTCTATCAGTCAAGAACGTCACACTGCAACCATCTAGAATATCTTTAAGCAAGTTCAAGAACCAATGCCAATCATCATCATTCTCACTTGAAACGATACCATAAGCTAAAGGCCACAAACCATCGTTTGCATCATAACCTGTTGCACCAAGCATTGTGCCTCTATAATTGCCACTCAAATGGCAAGCATCAATTGATTAGATGGGCCTGCAATAGTTGAATCCTCTTATAGAGCATCCATAAGCTACAAACACTCGCTTAAATCTCTTATCGTCCGTGCACTCCCAAGATGTATATATCCTGGGAATTGCTTCTGATAGTCGTTGGCACAACCATGGTACTAAAATATAGCTATCCTCCGAACGCCCTTCAATTATCTGATTTGCACCCTCCTTTGCTCTCCAAGCTTGTTTGTAAGTCATGTTAATAGAAAATTCACTCTCTAAATCTGAGCAAATAGTATTGGGTTTGTATGAAGGATTGTCCCTGACCATATTCACAATAATTCGACCCATTTCCTTCAAGTGAAAAACAGGTTTATAATTTGAAATGTCTCGAGCATTGTAGGTGTGAACATTGTTAAACCAAATGATTCTCACTGTATCACTATTGCTTTCACAACCAACTGTCACTTTCCATGGACAACCATTAACCTCACAAACCACTCTGTAATATTTTCTACTATTGTCCTTGTACTTGAACCCCATATGTTCCTCCAGCGAGAAAAAGTTAAAGTCCAGCTCATTTATTCCGTCCTTCACCCAATCATTAGAGAATATGCCTTACACGACCACAGCTCATCATAGGGTGTATTTGACCTACCTATATAAGGAATATGATACACTTTTTGGAGAGGAGTCCAGAGTCTCTTGTCACACATTGAAAATCATCTTGGAGGCTATTCTTGGAGAGGAAGAAGGGAGGAAGCTAGAGCAACCATTGGAGGAAATCTTCACCAACAAGGAGCAGCCATGGAGTTAGCCCTTGAGGGTTGGATCATCACTACCATGAGTGGCTAGACATCTTCTTGGGGCTAGAGTTAGCCCCAAACATGCTTTCTTTACCTAATCTTGTGTAATTTTGAGGGATTTGTGTTGTAATGCATATTTTGATTTTTGAACTTATGAAGATCTTGATTATTCATTGAGTTCTATGGATTAATGTTTCTAATTGATCATGTTCTCTATCTATATGTCTATGTATGCTAGAGTAGATGCTCACCTCTAGATTTAATGTTATTGATGCATGTCTATGTGTATTAATGCCTTTAATCTTGAGATTGCCAAAATATGAAGTTCTTAATGTAATGCTCTTGTTATGTCTCTAGATGGTTCATACTTATTCCTTGATGGATTGTGCTTCTCTTTTAAGTAGTGTAGTGTTAGTTAGGGAAACAATTCATGCTTGTTCTTTGATGTTCCATGCTTTTGAATGCAAGAGGCATATGCTCTAATATTGTGGTGTAATGGAATTTTGAGCTTAATGAAGGATTAATGACTAGTTATAATATGTTGTATCTTTCACATGTGTTTAGATAATTTATTCCTCTCCTAATAGATATTTTGTACCTCTCACATGATGTTTAGATAATGCATGTTTAACTAAGTCATCCTTATGGATTGCTTGGACTATGAGCTTAATGAAAGGTTCAATGACGTGAATTGTTATTTTGTTATCTTCACATGATGTTTAGACAATATATTCCTCTACCAATAGATGTATTGTGGCCTCACACATGTTGATTGAGACAATTTGCACTTGTTGAGTCACCCTTACCAATTGAATGTCTTTTACACACACAACATTGTTGCAACACATTCATTTCCCTCATTAGTCACTTGATTATGGTTTGGAATAGTATTGTTTGGTGGTGATCTCTACACTCCAAGACCTTTCCTTCTTACTTACTCTCTATCTTATTGCATTGCTTTATTATAGTTTAGCTCATTTAGTATAATCAACCAATCAATCAACAATTGTGTGATCATTCGACCTACTAACCCTAATTACCATAGTTTCACAATTCAATACACCATCAAATCCCTTGGGACGATCCCTACTCGCCCTAACTATATTTTATATAAAGAAAGGTAGTAGTGGCTTTCTATAAATGTAAAACTTGGCCACCTCCTAAATTCTCACACAACTCCTCAAGCTTTGTTGGTTGTGGCGACTCCATCAAGGAAAACAACAACAAATTTATTTCTTTTCTTTATTTAGGATTTAATTCTAATGATGATATATAGTTTAGAATTAAATTGTGGCATGCTAATAAATTAGGCCTTGGTGAGTTATGTAACATATATTAAATTTGGAACATTTGAGTAAGAATTGCAAAACTTATTTAATATTTATCTTTTGTGAAAGATTAATTAACATAGTTGTATCAAGCATGAAACCAACTTGTAATGTGATATTAAAGTAGGCCTTGGTGAGTTCTTTAACATATATTAAATTGAGGACATTTGGATATGTTTGAAAATCTAGAGAAAAATTAATTAATGAGCTTAATTAATTTTATTTTAAGTGTGTTGGTCACTTAAATTGATATTGGAGGTAATAGGTTGATAATCCCTTAAAATGTAGTCTATTTAATCACCTTGTGAGCATGTTACTAATTTGATGTAGAATTAGTACTTGAGACCTCTTGAAATGGTAATTGGACATAGCATGATATAGAATATCATTGACTTGCATAGCTTGTTTAGATATATCTTGTGTAGGTGTATAGCTTGTTAGAATATTACAATTGTTTACCTTGGAAGCTAGTTACTAAATTGGGACTTATTTAGTACTTGTGCCTTAGTGTGGTAATGTAGTTCAATTGTTATAAAATATTCTTGTTTTGGTGTATAAATTGCATATTGGAGGCTTGACATGTCATATGCTATCTAGACTTAAATTATAGATAGTGCCTTGTGGGTCGTAATTACCCGGAAACACTTGCTTGGTCTAGTGACCACATGTCCTTGTCTTTCTACTTTGATTTCGCATTCAATTTCAAGTTGTTAATCATGGATTACTTGTAACTTGAGAATTGATGCTTGCCTACGTATTTTGATCTCATTTAGTATACTTGAAACTGTATACTTGAACTTGTATCCTTGTTGGTGTATCTAAACTCTATCTATTATATTTACGCTTAGTATGCTTGACTTGTGTGTGCGGATTACATTTTTGTATACTTGTGCCATGTATACTTGTCTTGTGCGTATGTGTTTGGCTTAGTATACTTGTGTTTGTATACTTGATTTATGAGTACTCTATATATATATCTTATACTTGTGTATCTATGCTAGATATTGCTTATCCCGTTTAACTTGATTTAGTATACTTGTGAGCACGTGTACTTGAAGGTCGTGTATCATGTTTTAATATGGTTTAATCTACTTGAGCATGTATACTTGAATGCCGTAGTTCATTTCAATTGAATGAGTAGCTTAGAATGATCCCTGAGTCTCACTTTGACATGACGTTAGGTGGGATGAGCCCCGCTAACATGTTTCACCTTAAGGTGATAGAATTGTAAAATGCTAGGTCGATGCATGTTCATCTCCTACGAGTAGCTTTATGTTACTCACCCACATAGTGGGGACATTTTTCAGGTACCGGGATCTAGATTCGGGATTCACATCATGCTTGGATGATTTGTAAACTTGAAGTTCTCATTTCTTGTAAATGTTGGCTTGAAATGCCATTTATAGCTTTATATGTCAAAATGTGTAAATTTGATTCTATTTACCTATAATGTGTACATAAGTACACTCTTTACAATGTATTTGACATGCATGAGATGAGGTCGGAAGCCAATGACATGTATCTTGCTTTCTATGCACTTTCATTTTCAAGGCTTAATATGAACATGTTGAAAAATGCTTAGACATTGTGTCATAACTTTTGCATCGGGTGTAGGAATTTCATTTTTATTCTTTCGTAGGGTTTCATTAATCATGTTTGAAGCGTGGCCAAGGGCCAAACAGTAATTTGAAATCATTTGTCAATTTTGGTTTCCATATTTTCAATTTCAAGTTCATTTTCACTTTTTTGGCCATTGGGGGGTCGGATTTTGACTCGGCCATTTACGGGAGCCATGGACCATTCCCGCGTGCTCAAAATCACCATTTACGTCTATGTGCATGATCGTTTCCGGGAAAAACCCTTTCCTTTGTGATTTGAGCCTCCTATGGAACCATTTTTCAATTTTGTTGCATAATCTGTTCTAGGGGCATTAGAGACTTTTCACATCAGTTTTATTTTCTTCTTTCAACATGGTCACTTAGAAAACATGATTTTAGGGGGGGTTTCTTATTCGTGTTTTTCCATAAAACATCGTCTTGGCACCGGAAATCCCTCGTGAAGTTTCAGCGTCCAGTTTCATTTTAGCAGCTTTTTAACTCTTTTGACCAGATTTCTTGGGAGGGCATTTTGGCCATTTTACAGTAAGTTTTTTTCGAATTCTCTTGCGTGTCACGTAGAAAACTCAATTTTGAAGGGGGTTTATATTTTGTGTTTTTGCAAAAAAATTCATCTAGGCCTCCAAATTCAACCTCTGTTCTGGAATTTTCTGAAAAAAAAAAAAAACACACAGCAGCTTTATGGGCTGCTGCCAGCCATAGTGCACCCAGTGCGCGCGCGGCGTGCATGGGCACGCACACGGGGCTGTCATGGCCCCTCGTCGGGCCGCCGCGACGTCAATTCTTCTTTTGGGCTTTTCTCCTTCGTCCGGACTCCGATTCAAGTGAATTTTTTTTTTGAACTTGATTAATTTTTTGTCGTCTATCCAACGGTGTGCTCGATTACACCCAGATATTTCTGGATAATTACCAGTTTGCCCTTAAAGCTTTAAGTGTCCATTTTTCGTCGTCATGCCATTTCTCTTTCGTCCGGACTCTGAATCATGCGATTCTTGAGTCCATCTTGATTAGTTTTTCATTGTTCTTCCAGCGGTGTGCTTGATGGCACCCGAATCTACAGTTTTCAGAAATGACTATTTTGCCCCTGGGGGCTTATTTGTCATATTTTTGTTCTTTTGCTTCCGCATCAGTTCTTGTTGAGTTCCACGACCTCATGGAAGGTCACTTTGACTTCTTAGAGTTTTATTTTCTATTTTTGCTTCCGCATATCGGATCCGTTATCGGGTCAATCTTCGATTCATCACAGGACACGCTGGCCTAAAAACCAGGGTCGTCACAGACAATCTGCCCCACATACAATCCACTAAGTCTTTCTGCGTCGTCTATCACTGCTATAGGCAAAAAGTGAGCTGTCTTAGTCAATCTGTCAATAATGACCCAAACGGCATCATTTCCTGCCTTGGATCTCGAAAGTCCCGTCACAAAATCCATAGTGATGTGCTCCCACTTCAACTCTACCACTGGTAGTGGTTGTAACAAACCTGTCGGTCTCTGATGTTCAACCTTGACTTGCTGACAAGTAAGGCATTTAGCTACGAACTGAGAAACATCCCATTTCACGCCGTTCCACCAAAATTGTCTTCGCAAATTGTGATACATCTTTGTACCACCACGATGAACTGCGAGTCGAGAATGGTGAAAATCCCAAAGAACAACGTCACGATAAGACAAAGGAACAAACATCCTTCCTTTGTACCTGAGACCACTGTCTGAATGTAAGGTCCAACCCTTTACATTCTCGCCGCCTAAAATCCGATTGTGGATGGACTTCATCTCCCCATCCTCCTACTGTGCCTCAATAACTCTGCCAACAAGAGCCGGTTGAGCCACAAGGCTAAACAAGATAGCCGGTGAAACATCCTCATACAACTGTAAACCAAGTTCTGCAAGCTATCTACCATTTTCCATCTGTGGACGGAAATACTAGCAAGAGTACCCCGTGACTTCTTACTCAACGCATCGGCCACCATATTGGCTTTCCCCGGATGATACTGCAATTCAAAGTCATAGTCCTCCATAAACTCGACCCATCTGCGCTGTCTCAAATTCAAATCCTTCTGAGAAAAGAGATATTTGAGACTCTTGTGATCGGAGAAAACCTCAAACTTTTCCCCGTACAAATAATGTCTCCACCTTTCAGGGCAAAGATAACTGCTGCCAATTCCAAATCGTATGTCGGATAGTTCAACTCGTGAGTCTTCAACTGTCAAAACCTATAAGCAACCACCCGTTCTGTTTGCATCAAGACACAACCTAATCTTTCCCGCGAAGCATTGCAATAGACCACGTAACCCAAACCACATTCAGGTATGATAAAAACTGGAGCTGATGTCAACCTGACCTTCAACTCCTGAAAAGAAAAGTCACAAGCCTCATTCCATATGAACTTAACTCCCTTGCGAGTAAGTCGAGTCATAGGTGCCGCTAGACGAGAGAAATCCTAAACAAATCTCCTGTAGTAGCCGGTTAGGCCAAGAAAACTCTAAACCTCAAACATTATCTTCGGACGCTCCCAATCCATCACAGACTCAATCTTCGATGGATTCACCGCAACATCGCCCCCTGATACAACATGTCCAAGGAACTTCACTTCTGGTAGCCAAAATTCGCATTACTCAAACTTGGCATATAACTAATTATCCCTAAGGATCTATAACACTGTCCTCAAATGATACTCATGCTTCTATACCGAAGCTGAGTATACAAGAATGTCGTCAACGAACACCACCACAAATCTGTCAAGATAGTCATTGAATACACGGTTCATCAAATCCATAAAAGCTGCTGGTGTATTATTCAAACCAAATGGCATCACCAGAAACTCATAATGGCCATACCCTGTGCGAAAAGCGGTCTTGGATATATCCTCATCCTTAACCCTCAACTGATAGTAACCCGATCTCAAATCAATCTTTGAAAAGCATGTCGCTCCCTTCAACTGATCAAACAAGTCATCAATCATTGGCAAAGGATACCTATTCTTAATCGTAGCATGATTCAACTTGCGATAATCGATGCAAAGTCTCAAAGACCCATCCTTCTTGTTCGCAAAAAGAACCGGTGCTCCCCATGGTGAAGCACTAGGACGAATAAAGCCCATTGCTTTCAAATCATCCAACTGACCTTTCAACTCATCAAGCTCTGTCGGTGCTATACGGTACGATGCCATAGAGATGGGTGTTATACCGGGAATGACATCAATATCAAAAATAACTTCCGTTAAAGGAAGTAACTATGTTAGTTCCTCTGGAAAGACATCGACAAACTCCTTAACAATGGCCGGAAGAACACGGCCCAAACTGCTATCCTCGTTAACTAACAAACTAGCCAAGTAGGATCTGTGGCGACTCCAATCACCAATACTGAAAACCATCGCCGGGTGGGAATCGCTCTGATCCCCCATAAAATGGAAACAATCTCCCTTGGTAGTGCAAACGGACACCCTCCCACGGAAGCAATTGATCGTAGCCCGAAAGAATGACAAGCAATTCATCCCGAGATTGACGTCAAATCCCGTCATATCGAGAACAATAAAATCGAACTCTAAGGTCCGCCCAGCTATCTCAATATCACAACCCTCACAAACATGATCTAAAGACACTGGACCTTTAACTGGTATGTCAACACAAAGAAGATTATCCCGAAGTGTGACCTCCAGACCCAATGAATGTGTAAATGATGTAGAAATGAAAGAATATGATGCACCTGTGTCAACAAGAACTTGTGCCCAAGAACTAAAAATTGGAAAGATACCTCAAACTAAAGAGGTGCCTGCGGAAACATCCGCCTGTGGAAGAGTGTAGGCTCGTCCCTGAGTCCTTGAGCCCTGCTGTAAACTGCCATGATAGCCTGACTGATGCGTAGAAGCAGTAGGTGTAGAACCCTTATCTAGATAAGTGCCAACTGGCGCCACTGGCTGTGGTGCCTGAGGAACTCTGAAGCCAAACTGAACCACTGTAGGCTGTGCTAGTACCATCTGTAAATCTGTGCCACTACGTGACTTATTCAACAACTTTAAAAAATCCTTCCTGAGATGACCTAGTCGCTTGCAATAGAAGCAAGCTCCCTGGCCTGTTTCTGTAGAAATTGATGTCTGACTGGCCTGTGGTCGAAGCTGCAGGCAGCGAGGCTTGATGTGCCCCGGCTGCTAACAATTTTAACAAACCACACCCTGGGTTGATCCCGTAGATACAGGAACTATGGGTGTAGAACGAGTCTGCTGCGGTGCCCCCTGTAAGTGAGTATTGTTCCCTGCCCTGGCCTTCTTCCACTGACTCCCGGAAGATGATGGATTATCTTTGTGAGGCTGCTTATGTGAACCCCTAATCCGTAACTGATCCCGTTCCTCCGCCTCAGCTAGCATAGCTCTCTGTACTACCTCTTTGTAAGTCCTCAAATCAAGAATTAAGACCTGTAGCTTGATGTCAAGATGTAGTCCATCCTGAAACTTCATTGCCCTGGCCTTATCTATCGCCACCATATCCTCGGCATAACGAGAGAGAGAGGTAAATTGTGTCTCATACTCAATAACACTCATAGTGCCCTAATAAAGACCTGTGAACTGTATCCTCATCTCCCACCTCATAGCCCTAGGAAAGAAGCGCTCGAAGAATAAATCTCTGAACTCATTCCAAGTCATCAACTCAACATTGTGGACACTGGTCATAGACCTCCACCAGATATCTGCATCTCCCATGAACATAGAGGCAGTCAAAGAAATCCTCAACCTGTCCATGGGTACCGCCATACTGTTTAACTTGCAAACCATAAGGTCCAACTAAGCTTCTGAGACTAGCGGATCTGAACTCCCCGCAAATGGATCAATCTTAACCATTTGTAGTCGCATAAAGTACTCCATCGCCTCATTAACTATCAGTGCTGGTGCCGGTGTCAGAATCTGTATCCCTGCCACCTGCCTACGAATCAACTCTTGTAGGGATTCAGTGATCCCCTGATTGATTCCCTGAGCCACTCGCTCCTCATAAGTTAGTGCCTGCGGTGGATTAGCATCCATGCCACGAACTGGAATCCCGGGCCTTCCCGGACCCCTCGTGAACTTGGTGTCATCCACCTGTTCCTCAATGACCTAACGTGAAAACTCTCCATGCATGACAACCATGATGTTAAACGTGTAAAAGAAAGGAGGTCAACAATAACACAAGTTATTATGAACGAATGCAACTCACACTATGAATGCACGAAACACGAAGCAAGATAAGGTATGCAACATACGGTCATGCTAAAGCAATCAAAGAAGGCTGTTTAAACAATCTAGCACTTAAGCAAGTAAGCATACATGTCAAACAAAGATGCTCTTAGGCACCAATGTGACATTCCATGATGTCACAGCACTTAAGGAGAGCGAAAGAAGAAACTAAAATTAAAACGGGCTAAATTCGTCAATTAAGGGCAAAATGGTCAATTCATAAATAAAAGGAGAAAATTGACTCTGAACAAGTTAAACAAGGTGAATACAACCTAATATAATCATTTCATAACATTCCAAGAGGTTCCAAGAACATTGGCCAAGAATCCCACAAAAACGCCCTTTCCCAGTTTAAGCAAAAACTGACCCAACCTTACTAAAACATAAATAACTCCTATTGTGATTGGAATCTTAGAATGAAATTGGTATCATTGGAAAGATGACTCAAAATTCTTGAGTTTAGGCTCAAGAATCACCCCATTTGGATTAGAAACAAAAAAGTTATGACCCTTTGAAGTTGAAACTTCAGTGCTGAAACATAACAGAGAGGCTGTGTGAATGCAAGCTATTTCGGTCTCCCGAAATAGAGTTTCAAACGACCAAACTAGGCATAATTTTGCTAAAAACATGATTTTTGAGAGGAGGTTGTTTCGGTAGACCGAAATAGAGTTTCGGTCAACCGAAATGACCCTGAATAGTGCAAAAGCCTACTGGAATGAATGATTTACAGTACCCAGAATTTTCCAAAAGCCATCGGTTGACCGAAATGGAGTTTCGGATGACCAAAACACCTCGAAAAGCTGCTGTAAGACCTACTATATGTGTGTTAAGGTTTAACCCATGCTTCAAATCCCATCATGAATTGGTTCAAAAATGAAAGTTTAAAATTAATTTTTAATAAGATTTGTGTAATTGAGCATGTCAACAACCTTAAAATGAATAAATGAATGTATTACAACAACTTATGGCCTTATACATGTCCATTACAAGAAGTTCATATGATAAACCTCCAAAGTTAGTTAAAATGCAATTTAAAGCAAAAGTTTGATACCACGTGAATACAAGTACAAAAGTAAACATACTAATAATGTCAAAAGTAAATACTTGGGTATCATTACACATCAAGGAAGTTACATTAGCTTCCAAAATACCATACACCCATGGTATACAAAAATATAACTTTAAAAGTAAAGCATGCTAAACATTTGCATGTTAATATACAAAAATGCTTCAAATTGCTCATAAACTTCTAAGGATGATGAGCATCCAAGAACATAGTCTCCTTACCTGTAAAACAACCCAAACCACTACGGTGAGTAATCAAGTTACTCGTAGGAAAAAGCATATGTATATACCATAAAGTTTTAATATCATTGCAAGATCAATATAGACGAATACAAGGGAGCATTCCACTTAACGTTTATGTTCAAGGTGTTCTAAGGGATCATCTTAAGCTAACTTAAATGTTTCTTAGAAACACAATATCAAAGTGGACGTACTTAACAACATTAAATCGCATGAAACAAAAATTACAAGTTACAATTTAAACATTGATTATCAACTTGGAATTGAATGCGAAATCAAAAAGGTGAAAAATTTGGACATTTAAGCTCAGAATTCTGCCGAGACCTCAATGGTTATTCCGGGCATTAACCCATTGGGAAGACCACCCTAGTGCGCACTATCTCAATTGGGGAGAACTCATACCTTCCACACTAGAGCCAAACTTTAGCCATATCACTTGTAACAATGTCTTAAGAGAATCCAAAATATAGCAAGTTCAAAACTCATACATAGATATTAAGGCATATACACCACCTTCCATGCACAAGTATTTTGAAACCACACAAACCATGTCTAAGGGTTCCAAGTTTAGAATGGCATAATAAATGACAAGTCTTTAACATGATATAATGTGCAATACTATACCAACAACTTATTAATTTAAATCATGCCTCAACAATTAGCTTTATAGACTAGATTACAACATTATAGTATTAAGCTTCTAAAATAATTACAATTACCAAGTCAATCATAAGGATTTCCTACAATATGCAATACTATAATTCTAAAAACATGTACACAATATATATTAAACCCCAAAGGATTATAAAACACTTAAAATATAAACATACTACCACCCCTACCTCAATAGAGAATTGAATCTCTATAATCCAAGCAACCAAGCTTAAAAATGGAAAACAATTCTAGGGTTTTGACGAGGAGAGCAAGGGGAAACTTTTGTCTCCCAAGGTTTTTGGTCTAAGGTGAGTGGAAGGAGGCCAAAATGAAGGAATAAGCTATTAACCAAGCTTTCCTCCAATGGTGGCTAGGTTAGGGTTTTGAAGAACAAGTGTAAATGATAAAGATGAAATGAAAATGGTGAGTGGAAGGTCTAGAAATCCTCTACTCACTATGTGTTCTTACACTACCTCACACCCACACACTAATGCAAGACTTATTTTGGTGTCTACACTTGTCACAAATCAATGGCTCCTTCCTAGGCTTAATCTTAAACCTACACTTATCAACCATCTAAGCCAACAAGTGCACCTATCCTAGGCCAACAAGTGGGTGAATCTCCACCCTCCAAATGTCAAGAGATTATGCATCCAAGTCACTCCACCCCATTGCCAACAAGTAGCACCATGAGAATGTGACATTTGTCACTTTTTCCAAAAATTACAAAAAGGACCTTTTTCAAAATATCTTACAAATTAAATTACAAAATGGTCCCTAAGATGAAAAATAATTATTTTCATAATTACACTAAAAATCCAAAAATCAAGAATATATACAAGAAGGTATGCATCCATGCCCTTTACGAAAAATGAAAGCAACTAGCATGCTTTTCTACAAAAGTAAAAATACAATTATCATGGAAATCAAATATCGTGAATGTATGCAAAATTGGAATTAAATCCGAGCACAAAAAGTGAGGTTATGCAAGGAAAAAAGATAAACAGGAAAAAGACGAAATAGGGAAAAGACAAAATAGGAAAAAGACGAAAAAAAAAAGAAAATCACTAAAAAAGGAAAAAGGAGGAAAATGATCAGGTCATTACAACTCAGATTTCTAGCCAATCTAGTAGTCCTAAACATACACATTTATGATGTGATACTTGGGATGGATTGGTTATCTCACTACCATGCCCAAGTTAATTGTTATGATAGGTCTGTTATTTTTACCATACTTGGTCAGGATATGTACGTCGTCGCTATGCCACATTCTAACGGAGTCACTCGCACTTATTTGTTATATGTGAAGGAAGAAACGGAGGAGGAAATTATTGTGTCATTGGACAGCATAGCATTTGTACAGGACTTTCTGGGTGTTTTTCTGGAGATTCCAGGGTTGCCACCTAGCCGCAAGATAAACTTTGTGATTGACTTGGCTCTAGGCACTACGCCTATTGCTAGGGTGCCATACGGGATGGCGCCAGTGGAGATGTGAGAGCTGAGAGATCAGATTCAGTAATTACTCAGCCAGGGTTTTATTCATAGGAGTACTTCACCCTAGGGAGCACCAGTTTTGTTTATGAAGAAGAAGGATGTTTTACTTCGCTAGTGTATAGATTACAGGGAGATGAACAAGGTTACTATTCGCAATAAGTACCCTTTGCCCAGGATTGACGATCTTTTTTATCAGTTAAAGGGAGTTACATATTTCTCTAAGATTGATCTGCGTTCTGGATATCATCAACTTTGGGTTAAGGAACAAGATGTTTCGAGGATAACGTTTCTCACTAGATATGGTTCTTATGAGTTTCATGTCATGCCTTTCGGACTGACTAATGCACAAGCAGTCTTCATGGATTTAATGAACCGAGTCTTCAGGGCTTATTTAGATTAGTTTGTCATTGTCTTCATTGATGACATTTTGATTTATTCAAAGTCAAAGGACGATCATGCTAAACACCTTCACACAGTGTTGCAGACACTTTGTGAACACCAGTTATATGCTAAGTTCGAGAAATGTGAATTTTGGCAGTGGGAAGTGAAGTTTCTGGGTCACGTAGTGTCAGAAAGGGGAATAACGGTAGATCCAGCGAAAGTTTTAGCAGTGGTAGAGTGTGGACAGCCTACTTTACCTACCACGATTCGGAGTTTTCTCGGATTGGCAGGATATTATTGTAGGTTCATTCAGGGGTTCTCAAAAATAGTGGGACCACTCACTCATCTGACTAAAAAGGGTGTATGATTCGTTTAGAATGAACATTGTTAGAAAGCTTTTGAGGAGCTAAAGAGCAAGTTGACTTCTACACCGGTTCTATCTACTCCACAGTGCACGATTAAGTATCTTGTCTACACAGATGCTTCTTTGCAAGGTCTTGGATATGTTTTGATGTAGGAGGAATGGCCAATTTCATATGGATCTCGGAAGCTTAAGCCTCATGAGCTTAATTATCCCACACATGATTTAGAGTTGGCAGCTGTGGTCTTTGCCTTACGTATTTGGAGGCATTATCTGTTGGGAAAGTCCTTCAGATTATTTAGTGACCACAAGAGTCTGCAGTATTTGTTCACTCAGCGGGAGCTAAATATGAGACAGCACCAATGGTTAGAGTTTGTGAAGGACTATCAATTCTTTATACAGTACCATCCAGGAAAAGCGAATGTCATGGCAGATGCATTCAGTCGTCGACCCTATGCGAGTCTTTCTGCTTTATTCACCACTAAGTGGAACACTTTGAAGACAGTTGATGAGTCGTTTGATGCTTTTATGGCTTGCATAGTAGTTACACCTTCTATCATTTACAAAGTTTTGAAGGCACAACTCACATATCAGCAGTGTATTGACAAAATTGTAAAGATAACTTCTGGAGAGGTTCCAATTTATTATGTTGGGATTGATGGAGGTTTGAGGTACAAGGGACGTTTAGTGGTACCTTCTGCTGACGATTTAAGGAAGGATGTGATGACTGAGACTTATCATTCTGAGTTCTATGTTCATCCAGGAGGAGACAAGATGTATCAGGCTATGAAGTGGCAGTTTTGGTGGGCAGGTATGAAAAAAGACATTGTTATTTTTGTCTCTCAGTGTAGTACTTGTCAGATAGTCAAGATTGATCATCAGCAGCCGCCAGGAGCTCTACAACCACTACTAATACCGGAGTGGAAATGGGAGAGCATTTCTATCGATTTTGTGGAGGGATTGCCAAATCTTTTAAGGATCACAATTCCATTTGGGTCATCGTTGATAAGTTGACAAAATCAGTTCATTTCTTGCCTATTCGCACTAACTTCACTTCGGAGCAGTTGGCAAGACTTTACATTACAGAGATTGTGAAGTTACATGGCATTCCGTTGTTTATTGTATCGGATAGGGCTTTGAGCTTTGTGTCAGGATTTTGGAAGATTTTTCAGCAGGCTTTGGGTACAGAGTTACATCTTAGCACTGCTTATCATCCTCAGACTAATGGACAGACCGAGAGGGTTAATCAGATCATGGAGGATATGCTTCATTCGTGCGTTCTTGATTTCAAGGGCCTTGGGAGGATTATTTGCCACTTGTGGAGTTTGCATATAACAATAGTTTCCAAAAGATTATTGGTATGGCATCATTTCAGGCATTATACGACCGACCGTGTCGATCTACTGTTTGTTGGATGGAGGTTGGAGAGAGCAGATTTTTGGGTCCTAAATTCATTAAGGATACTTCTAAAAAGATTGCTCTTATTAGGGATCGTGTGACTGCCCAAGTTTTTTAACCCGGTGCGTCAGTGATGAACCGAAAGATGACCTGATAATGGATCCGAAATGCGGAAGCAAAAGACAAACAATGGTCTCTAGAGATACAACATGACTCTAAGACACCATTGTGACCCTCAACGAGGTCACGGGACACAAAGGAATCAAATGCAGAAACAACATTTCAAAAACGAACAAGAATGCACCTAGGGGCAAAATCATCATTTTTAGCCTAAAAGTGGGTACCACAGAGCACACCATTGGAAAGACAACAAAAAATCAATGAACTTAGACTCAAAAATCGCTTGATTAGGAGTACGGATGAAGAAGATATGGCTTACGGAAGAAGAAGGAGCAAAATGGTCAAAAAAGGGGCAACCAAGAACATCTAACCAGTTAGGAAGGTCTCCTAACCGGTTAGGAAGCCAAAAACAGTGAAAAAAACACTGCCCACACTCATCTAACCGGTTGCAAAACCCCTCGTAACCGTTTAGATGTAAAGGGGCAGTAAGGGTGCGACCCAAAAAACTGGCAGCAGGGATTTTTCCGGAAAAAAAAGGAAATTTGAGGCCTTAGATGACATTTTCTAGAAAAAC